CATCATCTCAACCTATCCTCAATGTTGAATCAACGTTGAGTGCCCGCTGGGAAACCAGTTGTGTAAGTATCATAAATAAGCATTTAAAATAAAGCTCAAACCTTAAAATCTTTTGCATTATTAAATGACTCCACTCTCATTTGTCCATGTTCACAACCCAAAAGTCCTGAACGCATTGGTTTTTTTATGCCCTTAGTTGTTTCAGACCCTGTTCCAGCTCTGCATCTGTCAAAAATAAACAGATCACCTCCAGACATGACTGTGACAGCACAAGGACAAAAAGCACGTCCATTATTACACAGTTTGAAGAAACCATGCACCTGTAAAGAAATTAAAAATATTGCAGACAAGATAAAAAAATTATAGAAAAAAATATTGCATTTATTTAAAAAAATTAATATGTCAACCTAGCATTCCTCATTCTGAAATTACATAACAGCAGGTAGCGGTCTCAGTTGTAGATAATGATCGATGTACAAGCAAAACAAAATGAAATTTAGAAATAATAATAAAACAGGAAATGATATTTAAAAATGGCAAGAGACAAAACTATATTTGATGTCACAAAGGATACATGTACCAGTCACATCAAAGGTTTAGGGTATTAATGTCATACAATATTATCATACCTGGATTGGCAGAGTTTGGTGTTTATACATTATGAATTCTCCGGGAAGCTGGCATTCATATCGACTGAAATATGTAAAGAATATTATACTGGTATGTAGAAATTCTTAAAAATGGGTTTCAGAAATTAATTGAAGAACATTATAAAAGAGAAGAAAGGAGAAATTCTCAATTCAAAGGATAATACATGTATGATTGAAGCTATTTAATTCCTTGTTGTAACATACAAAGCACATCATAAATGATACTTACACACCATCAAAGGTCATCATGTGTGGGTCACTGTTTGCCATACACACTAGTCCTTTTAAAGTCATATCTGTATCAACCACCAATATCTAAGAAAATCAGTCATTCTGTTACAAGAAGCAATAATAATAATAAACAATTATTTACAATTCATATTTGCCACCTTTTCATTAAATTACTCCTTGGCAATATCATTTAAATGCAGTCTTTCCTTTTCTATAAGTGGCCATGCATGCAAGTTCTGTAAAATTTGTAAAAATGTGTGGGCTGCAATATAATTAATTCCCTTTACAACTTCTCTATCTTTATCTCTCCCCCTACACACACACACACACACACACACACACATCTAGGTTAGTTATGGTGCATCCAATAACACGGCTGGACTGACAGCGCACTGGCTATAAACCCTTTCATTGGTATATAATTTCATTATTCTAAAACCAGTTTAAAATACAAACAATCTTACTGGTATATCTGGTAGTCTGTAGTTGCTCCAGGCTTGATGAACATTAAACTCAGCTGTTGACAGCAGCACTTTGGTGATTTGGTCTCCATCATATATTCCATCTATGACTGGGGCTATTTTCAAGGTGACAATTTTATTCCAGTGCTTAGCATTTATCTGTATACCACATGCCTCCACCACTGCCTCCTGTCTTTCACTAACTCCACCCTCTGATGGACACAGTGCTTGTTTCCACTGTTGTGGAATGCGGACTTCCACTTGGAGAAAGATATCTTCACAATAAAAGTCAAACACTGGAATGTCTGTGCACAGCACTGGCACTGTTGGTTGAAAAGCTATAATGGCAGGATTGAGATCATTTTCTTTCATTCTAATTGGAAAGTCACTTGAATTCAGCACCTGAAATGAAGATACATACAACAGCATGCATGCAGGCACCTAAAAACAATTTTCCATGCTCACTATAAATAGAAACAAATTAATAAAGCAATGAAATCCACAATCAATACTCCAGTTATAATATGATAAGAATATGTACTAATAATATAATCATATACTGCCTAGTGTACATACTGAGTAAGCATCTACATGGAGTAATATTTGTGTATGTTAAAATACATGTAAATTATTATCTAATTATTGTTATTAAATTTCAACATAATCCTTACATAGTTTTGTATAAACCTTATATTCTTCCCACCAATGCAATATTTACCTTTATACCTGCAAAAAACTCTAGACTTTCAACAGCCAAACTTCTGGCACCAACAAGTTCTCCATCTTGTACATACTTTCCCTTTACTCTGCATTTTACCTGTAAATTATAATCACAAATTAAATTATGCTTTCTTATACAAGCCACAGACAGCTTTTAATAAAATCTCTTACAAAAAAATGACCTTAAATAATGTGGCATCTGGACTAACAACAACACGAGGAATCAGGGAATCAAGCAGGAGTGTCTCGATAATTCCCCCCCCCCCCCATGACTACTCCCCCACAACAGTAACTCCCTGCACCACTGCAGCTCATTCATCCCGGGAGAATGTTCTTGCATTGAAATTTCACCTAAAATATCATTTAAACCATATATATATATATATATATATATATATATATATATATATATATATATATATATATATATATATATATATATATATCACCACAGTAACATAACACCTCTAGGTCTGTATTGATTTGGTGAAGGGACAGTACAACAATGTATGGGGGCCTATTATGAAGCAGGTGAGGATCGGTGCAGGGGTGTATCCATGAGGGGGAGTAAAAATGCAGTGACATAAAGATATGTTCCCGGACATAACTGGGTTCCATTTCTGAAAGAATTCTGATTCTAACTGTAGCCTATTACAACCATTAAAAGATCAAGTATACCTTACCTGAAAGCCAAGAGTAATTGATTTGCTCAGCCAGACACTTTCTCTGAGCTGAGCAGGCAAATCAGCCACATCAACGTCATCTTCCTCATGGACAAGTTGTGAATCAATGTACCATTTCACATCAAAGAAGAGCAGAGACAGCTTGTCTGCAGGGACTTGATCATAGAAGGGCAGGCAGGTGAACATAAGCTCCTTTTTTGTTATATTTTCAAAAATATAACGTTCAACTCTTTCATCAACTTGAATGTCTGGTTGCTGTGTTATATTTGGGAAATTATCTAGCAGAATGAAATACTTTATTAATATCACGAAACTGTTCATTTCATTTACTGTTATTTAATTTTATCAAGATCATGCTGCTGATACTTCATTAAAATAATATGTATCCAAGAAACTGAATTTATCCATCTAAATATTTAGATTTGTCAGGTGTTACACAAAATGTAAAATTTTTGATTTCATGTGCATAACAAATAAATAAAAATAAAGACCTAACCTGAGCAACCTGGTTCAAAACCATCCTCTGATACAGTTCCTGGGGGACAGAGTGCCTTATCACCTAAATAAGTTGTAAAACAGATGAAGAAATACAAATTTAAAGTCGTCTCTTCCATGTACATGTACAACCATCAAAAATGTGAATCTAATTAAATTTTGCTGCTGTGTTTTACTATTTTTTCATCAGTTACATGAAATGCAAAAAAAAAAAAAAAAAAAAAAAAAAAAAATGCTGCTTGCCAACATGCCCCCATATTAAATTAATGCACATTTCAGGGGTTGGTGGTTGTGCCAAGGTGCAAAAATGAACAAATTTTAGATAACAGTTACCTTATGAATACTAATAATTAGGTATCCTCATTATCAATGAAAAATTATGATACAATCACTCACCTATACAGTAACGCTCAGAACACTGACTCACAGGTGGCAGATGATATACATTGTATGTAGAACAATTCTTTATCTGTATGTCATATGTCTTGGCACAGCAAACAGAGGAATTCTTTACACATACAGTGCCATTAATGATACCATCATCAGCAGAGGGTAAGGAACCTGTGAAATAAAAATGTGTGACAGGAAGTGCATTGAATGTCCCAAATTTAAGGATAAACGGCAATGTTTATTTGCTATTTCCTGCTCTCCACAATGAATGTTTTATTATTATTATTATTGTTGTTGTTGTTGTTGTTGTTGTTGTTGTACCTACCATTCAGCCATATGGGATTATCTGTACCACAGTCTCCTACAAAATGGCAGGTCACAGGCATATCATTTCCAGTTATCATGTCAAATCTAAACCAACCCTCCTCTATTTTATCATCACATGCTACTGCTTCAATGGCATTCTTATGGTACATGGTACTCCTTGATATTTCACCAGTGACACGTTTGCTAGCAAAGCACTCATCAATCTCTGGGAAAAAGAACAATTGTATTTAGTAACCTTCAGAAATAGAAATATAAATACATGAAAATGCATTTCTGTGTCCAGAGATGAGTGAATAACATTTAATTTATGAATGCCTATATACAGAAAAAAATGTGTTTATTACCAGGTATGATGCACATGGATGACTGTAGAGAGTAAGAGCTTGATTTAAGGGGGCATCTCAATAGTCCAAAGCTTCATTGGTCCAAAGGTTCAATGGTAAGAAAAATGGTAACATTTTCATCTGTTTTTTAATCAAGGGTGCATTGGTCCGAAGGTTCTATAGTAAACATTTGGACCAATGGACCTTCAGACTATTGAACGTTCGGACTATTGCTACGGCCCCTGATTTACTAGTTCCTTTTACATTAACCAACATTTTCTTCTTTTCTCTTTATATAATTCTTTATATAAACTTAACTAATATAAAGTTGTTTTAGGAACACATTTTTTGTACCTCCACAGGTGTCCACATAGTCTTCACAACAATCTCCTGCTTTAGTGCAATGTTCATCACAATAACAGCTGCGTAATTCCACCTTACAGGTACTGTTTTTGCCAGAACAGCAGCCCAGTTCAGAACAGGATATTGGATATTTGATCTCACACAAAACTCCCTGTAAAGAACTTGTACAATCATGCCAAAGACCAGTAGTGGTATCAATACACAGATATGGCTCTGTAGATGGATCTTCAGGCTGACCAACTGCCCAAAATACGACTGATGGACTTACTGGTTCTCCAGTAAACCACACCCATTGATCTATATTGTAAGTTCCTCCTAGCAGTAGCAGCCGTGGAGTAAAGGAACCTAATGGATAAGAACAAAATAAATGTGAAAACTATGTTTCATTTAAAATACTGCATTTCAATAAAACTATATTATAGTTAAATAAAATTATATTACTGCTCAAACTACTAATATGTGCAACGTACTAGTATATGCATGGAGCAGTGCCACGTTTTAAGGTACTGCGCCATGGCACTGCATGTGACTGCAAGACAATTTAATTTAATTTTTTTCTTTTTCACTTTAATCTGTCATAAATCTTTGAGTTTTTGTTAATATTTATCTAATTCAACTAAATTTCAATTTTTAATAAATCATCTTCATCCACTTAATAATTTTATAGGAACTGTACAGTTACGGAGTGAGGCAGAACATTTAAGCTACAGTGCAGTATGTGGAGGTCTGAGTTTGTGTGAGGGAACATTTCACCACATTATATGCTCTTTATAGTTTCATTAATCTAAACTTACCACGTAGACATATTTCAGTCAGTATGGTCCTCTCTTCATTTGTGTCAACTAAGACTACATCACCTCCAATTGACTGACATGTCTGCCTTGCACTCTGAAATGTTGTGAAACTAGGATCCTCAATGTAGCAAGTGTTGTCACTGCACTTCTCAAAATATGGCACTGGAAATTAAACAACATACAACAAAAATTCATTCCCAGATAGTAATTTCAAAATTCAATAAATTTTTTGATCTTTAAATGAATCTATAAGTATATTCAATTTATTTTTGGTTCATGTAAATGTACCCATTTCCCCATTCTATGTAAAACAGGTACAATAAAATATTTTATTTTCCTAAGAATTCTGAGGCAAATATATATGCTATAGTACCTCCTGCTCCTATATCCAAAGAGTTTGCACTACAAATGACTCCTGCATCTTGTGAATGTGTGCAGCCTGTTGTGTTCCCCCACCCACTGTGTCTACAACGGAGCAAGGACGTCTCTCCCTCGTCACAGTCAACATCTGACAGCCATATCACACCTGAATGCGCCCCAAATGATCCTCCACTTACCACTCTGGACCCATAAGATCTTTAAAACATATGACATGCAATTTGTTTATTCAAAAATTGAGTTTTTGATACATGTTCTTCTAAAAACATTCTTTTTTCTGAGTTAAAAGCTTAGATAAGTTTTAAAGTTCATCTCGCTGGAGTCGAATGGGCCATTTAGAATAGATGATCCGAGTACTAACTGATCCGCTGACTAAATATGGCCGACCCCACTTCAAAAGCAGTGTGGCTGATTCCCTATGGTCTCCTCACCTCCACACGTGCCATAAAATGGATAAAATCATGTCTTCAAGGTTTAATTGCTAGGCCTCTGCAGGGAAGGTGCATGTGGAGGTGGAGGAGACCATCACAGAATTAGCGCCATCATTTTTGAAGTGGGGTGGGCCATATTTAGTCGGCAGATCACTTAGAACTTGGATGATCTATTCTGAATGGCCCCAAAGACCAACATATTTCATATTTCACTCAAATAAGGCCATATTTTACATTAAACTTAAGTACAGCCTTGACACTTTTAAATTATTTAAATATGGAATATTTTTTCCAAATCACTTTTTCATTAGTTTTTTCCCTATTTTAATGACTCGTATATGAAAATAAGGATTAAAATGATCGGGTTTCAATAACTATTTATTTTCTCTTTGGTGTCATGGTGACATCAGTTCATTAATTGAATTTGCCAGTGAAGCAATTAAGCAAAAATATATTGACCATTCTAAG